ATTGATTATACACGAGACGGTTTATATCCAATAGCAAGTAATAATCAATACTTATTAATACATCGAGAACCAAATTTATGTTTAATTGATCGAAGTTTTAAAATAGCAAAACAAACATTATGGAATTATGGACAAATATTTGATATGTGTTGGTCATCAGCATTAGAAAAATTTTTTCTTATTACACTTAATCAAATTTATATATTTGATGTTAATACAATATCTATTGAACGTATAGAAGCAACACAAAAATTACGTTGGCTTTCTTGTACATGTTCAGATACATCTTTATTTTTATCAACAAATGAAAAAGGTTCATCAATATGTGAATTTAATCTATTAAATTCATTACAAGCCGCTAAAAGATGGGAAACACCAGATACATGTTCTAGAGATGAACGTATTCATGATATGGTTTTTACTAAAGGAACACTTATTTTAGTTATTGAAAATTCATTAACAGAAAAAATTCGTTTAGAATTAAGATCATCATCAAAACTCGATCGTTTATGGTCACTTCAATTAGATATTGGTTATCATACAAAAAAAATTAGTTGTTGTTTACTTAATTATGATCAATGGTTGATTATTGATAGTAATACATCACGTCTTTTTCAAATAACAATGGATGGTAAACTCAAATCTACATGTTATTATAATCCTACAGCTTGTTCTGCTTGTCGTTTTGGTTTCGATTTATTAGCTATATCAACACTTCATGGTGTTAATATACATAAACTTTAAATTAAATTAAATATGAATCTCATACTATTAGTAATAGAAATAAAAATAAAATCTACTGTACATTCCATTGTATTTTTTCGTATAAATTAGTATGAATAAATATTTTTTTTCTTCTGGAAAGTTTATTTCAAATGTGAAAAATAAACTACTGTCTGAAATGCATTGATTATTATCTTATATGGTATATTGAATAACGAGCTTGTTCTTAAAGAAATAATAATCATTATATGATTTTTATTGTATTTATGAAAAAAAAAAAATTATTAAAAGTATGTCTGAGAAATATTCTTTGATAATTGATTTTATTAATTATAAATTATTATATTTATGAAAAAAAAAAAAACATAACTATATATTTATTATTTAAATATATTTCAACATGTTGAATAATAAAAAGTTTTCATAAGTGATTTGATAAATGTAATTCTTTCTCAAGGATTTGTCTTCTAAATATTTATTTATAGATTTTATAACGAGTTTTATCGAAAATAACTTAAGACAATGCATTGAAAAGTTCAATCCAGGTTCAAATTTTCGATACTGAAAACCATATTCGTTTATTTATATACAGATATAGGATACACATCAAAGTAGTATTAAGACACATCTCATTAATGCTAAAATGACTTTAGAAATAATTATCGGCAAACCTTTGAAAACATAGAGAGTCTATTAAATTAATAAAAAATGTTAATTAAATTTTGAGTTATAGATCCAATATCATTTATTTATATTGTTCGTTAATGAAAAAGAATAATACCAACAGTGACAAAAGTTTAACGCTCTTCAGGAATATAATAAAACATTGATGTAGTTTTTTTTTTTTTTTATAAGATGACTTGACTTCAACTGAAGATAATGAAAATATGTTGAGGAAAAATTACTACTAGTCTCATAGAAAGTATTAGTGAAGTGATGAACATCATGAGCGGCTTGTTTAACAAAGTTTACTATATCGAATTTGTTCTCTACTATGTCACTTGCTTGGATTTATCTTTTCAACATTTTTTACAGTTTTATTAAAAAGATTAATAAAGAATTTGTAAGGTATCATTCGACAAGATTTAAGTGAATAAAAATAAATATTGATATATGGAAAAATTTTAATGTAGAAAAATGATCATATGTTCTAAAAAGGTTAAAAGCAATCGTCCAAAAAACGAAGCCAAAACATCACAAAAATTGATTATTGATATTTATACTAAATGTCAATCTGATAAACTTATAAATCATTTAAAATTTTTTTTTTAATTTTTTCTCAAAAATTGTAAGATGCAAATATTCATTCAAAATTAGTAAAATAACCATAATATTCTACTACTTTTATGCATTTTGGAAGTATCTTTTTTTCAGATGATAACTCTAATCTTCCTCTACAAAATTACATATTTTAATCAAATAATCATATATAAATTTGTCATAGATATCATTGATTCATTGAGATAAGTTGAAACTTTTCGACCATGCTTTAGGTGTCTGCATCTGCTATACAATAAAATTTAAAGTTTTTAATCCTTCTTGTTGCAAATATATGATCATCGTAAAATTTCATAGAGAATTTTTAATTACAGCGCTGCTCAGAACACCTGACATACATAAAACCTTGACTTAAATACTCAGCTGATGTTGATCCAATAACATAGAATGTACTACTACTGTAAACTATCTTGACCTTAGTCTTAGTTTTTAACAGACTTTTATACTCAATATAACAATCACTTTCAAGCTCGTTGCTACTTACATTCAGAAATATCTGGGAGATTTGAAAGCCAACAGAACTTGAAAGTGATTAGAGTATCGAGTCTGAAAGTCTCTTAACAGTTAAGACTAACGTCAAGATTGTTCAAAGTAGTTTTTGACATATATAACTGCGTTTTACGACAGTGGATCAATCTAAGCTTTATGCTAGCGATGAAATTTTTTTTCCAGTCGTATCTCTGCTAATAATTCCGTGAGAAATGAGTTAACATCAGTCAAGTTTTTTGGCATGTAAGGATTTCTGAGCAGCATTCTGCATGATAATTTTTTATGAAACTTTATGATGATTGTATCTTTGCAACAATCCTGGTTAAAAATTTCAAAATCGATTCCATAACATATTTAGATATATATTCAAGTGCCTGCAATTCAAAAGTTTCCCAACGTGTTTTTTTTTATGCATGGTTAAGCGGAGAATATTGAATTATCAAGAAAAAGTACGTCTCCAATTGTTCAATGAACTCTTCAAAAAAAAAACCCTTTAAAATATCCCAATATTTACATTTAATAACAAAGCCTGTCAATTTTTCATGTAACTTACTTTATTTTTGCAAAGACATACCATTGGCTTCTATGTTATCGTTATAAATCAATATATATATATATTTAACGTAACTGTTATTTATTCCAAACATGACGAAGACAAAGAATAATACAAATGATGAAAAGCTGGATGGTTCTCAATTTCATATAGTTTTTATTTATACTATTGAAGCTTCCAGTATAAAATCTCTAAAATCAATATACAATTATTTTTGATCGTATATCATAGATAAAATTTCAGAACTAGACATAATTATATCAATATTTAATAAAAAAAATTTTTATTCACTAAACTCAATAAATATTAAATTGAAAATAAAGTCTTAAGAACAATATGAAGGAATAAAAGCGAATACATTTACAATAGTACAATGATCAAAAAATTTCTGTAAACAAACCCAATTGCATTTCATATATAAACTAAACTTAATTAGACAAGTGCAACATGTTCAAAATCGGTTTTTCTTTCTAAACATAAAAAATCAAATTTTATATTACGGAAAAATTGGTGTTATGAAAATCATCATTTTCTTATGTCATATCACGTCTTGCATTTATTTACTATCTTACTTAATGCATGTTGATAACTAGATGCGCCTATACACACATCTTGTTAAGTGATTTGAGTTTCAATGAACGTTACTTGATTTTGTTCTGTGCAATTGTTTGAACATTTCTTCCGCTTCATGGTACGAAATTGAAAAGAGAAATATAATTTTTAAAACTACTTTTGTTCTACTCAATGTTGTCACGAAGTGGAACAATATATTTAAGTAGTTGCACAGATTCAAAAATATATTATATTCACATTTGTTTGAAAGATTGACGTCGTTTATAATAAAATGTTAAAATCGAGGTGTTTTGAAGACGTGTCTCAGACCTAATTTTGACAATTGTAGATGCACTTTATTTTTAATAGTTCAATATGTTCTATCCAACCATGTATAAAAAAAACCAGTGCAAATAAGTTTTGCAGCAATTTTGAAATGTATGCAATTGATATATATTGTTCATGTTAATCTATTTTATTAGTGAAAAATGTCAATAAATAAAATTCGTTATATGGCTGAAAACAAAATTCGTAAAGACCTTTTAGAGTACTTTAAAATTGTAAGATATCAGTGTTATTATACTTCAATTTCGTTAATACACTGGGACAATATTTTTGTATTCTTTTACAAAAAATTTTTAAAGATTGATAGACACTAACACACGATTAAAATAAGTATGATGATATAAATATTTACCATTCTGTCTCATTGATAGAGCTAGTCTAAGACGAAAATAGGAAGTAAAAAAAATATTGACATCTATCTTCTGTTAATAGAACATAATAGAATGAAAAGTCTTTTTGCACGTCCGACGTAGAACGTGTCGACCAGAAGGACAAAATAATCAACACTTATGTCATCATCGTTACATAGAATTTTATTTAAATTATAACATCATTTCAACATTATTAGGAACTATCGTTATGATAGATATAAATAATAGGAACCGATAGATTTATAGCACATTGATTTAGAGAAGCAGTATCTACACTAAACCTTCCTTGAATCAAGTAGAAAAGCATGAGAAATTTTCTAGGTCGATAAAAATACGAGATAAATCATTACCAGTTTATTGACACTATAGTAAATCTTTTTAAGATAGATAAGCTTTCATGAATTTTTCTGACGAACATCACTTTAATGTTTTGTCAGATTTTCTATCTTTGCATTGATTTTTATATCAATTGTAGAATCGTATACCGAAGACAATAAATCTTTTTCGACAAAAAAAAGACTTGGACAAATTTTTAAATTTTTGCAAAATGTAACGAGAATCCACAGACGAATCCGGTTGTAGAACTCTAATGAATAGTTTTTATTTTATATTAATAAAAACAAAATTTATTTCGACATAGCATATATACTGAATATTTATTTATTCAAAAATAAGAACTATAGTCGGTTTTATCCCATAAATTCTCTTGGATCACCTTTGACAATGGATTGAGCTCTTCTTGCAGTACCTAATGATCGTTCTTGTGGATTTAGAATATTTTCTTCACTTGTAAAAGGATCGAATAAAGTTTTACGAAGTAATGGTGATTTGCCAATATTACGATTGAGTTGAAACATTTGTCTTTCCTGTGTATTGACATTATATTCGTCATCATCTAATTGACGATTAAAATCATAATGAACATTTCGTGCACTGAAAAACAAAAAACATTGATTTTATTTTTAAACAAATAAAAAACAAACATACTGGATTAAAACAATAGTAAATGCTAATAGTAACCAAACCAAATGAGTGTTTATTTTCATGTTTAAGATTTTCTTTAATGTAGTGACAATATGTGAGTGTGCGATGCTAATATATAATAAGAGGAATTTCTCTATATAGAAAGATGCTCTTTTATTTTAACGATAGAAGAATGTCTATATGCTTCGTTGGTTTCAAATGTGAATGTATTGTTTTATAATAAAAAAAAATACAGAGAAACATTACATTTTATATCTACTAAGTGCCATAAGAAGCAACCCCCATTTTCTTAATTGTCTTGCTTTCTTTTTTCTTTTTACGTTTTTTTTCTCTAGTATACATGTAAACGTATCATGCTCAATATGCAAACATGACATGTCAATCTAATGAAGTAAGCATAGCAATATTTTCTGATGAATGAGAACAATGACTTGATAGATTTCAATATAAATAGCAGATGCTCATTTTTATCTTGATTGAAGTGTCTATTGAAATAAATGGTTCTATTCAAGTATTTGAAAGGATTTTAAATGCGAAAGATTTTATTTTCTTTATATAAGTAATGAAGCGACTAGTTTTATTTTTAATGAAATAACAAAAGAAAATGAATTATAATGCTTGAAGAAGAATTTGTCGATGATCAATAATATATGTATAAATAGCATGACGTCGTTGTTCATCTGTCCATTGTGTTATATTACTAACATGTTGAATAATTTTTTCAATAAATTGTTCATCAGTTAATTTATTATCTTCATCATCTAATTTTCTTTTATTATTATGTACTATCCAACGTCGTTCATTTGTTGTTGTTGTTTGAATATATTTTAATAATTGTCCAAGTAATTTTTGATCATATATATAACGAAGTAATGATGGTGATAATGTATGTAGTAAATTTTTTGGATAAATCGATGATATTGTTGATGATAATAAACGTTGTTGTTCTATTTGTAAAAGAATAAGTGTTGGTGAAAGATTTTGAAGAATAATATCTAATATATAATCAAAAAAAATATTATATGAACAAGGTATAAAACAATAATCAATTGAAATTGATAATAATATTTGTTGTTGATTATTTGATGAATAATTTTCATAAAGATATATTAATGTATCAATACAATATGATATTGTTGAATGACGTTGATCAGATAAATTTGATATGGAAAAAAGTGAACAAATTTGAAGACGTGATTCAAGAGAATTATCATTTAATTTTTTTAATATATTTTCAATATCAAGTGCAAGTAATTGACTATTATTAACTATGGAATTTGATTCCATATTTGAATCATCTTGCATTGTTGGACTTTGTGGTGTATCACTAAAATAAATAAATTTAAATCATACTTCTAAATTATTGAAATATTATATATTGGTATTCATTCGAGCATTATGCCCTATGTATTTGTTTCGTTTATATGACCAACTAAAAGAACTAGAGCGAGTGATCTGAATGAATTCGAATAATCAACCATCTTAAAATAAATACGTTTTAAAAGATCTATCTTGATATGTCAGTTACATTCATTTACCGGCTTTCATACAGTAAATACAACAGAAAAAAGAAATCAGATAACTAGAGAATAACTTTCAGTAGAATGTATCTCGTTGTAAGAACTACATTTAAATTATTATTTTCAATGTATTTTAAACTATCAATATTTTATACAATAAAACCTCTGCTAGTGAACACCTCCTAATTATGAATAGTTTCGAATTTGACAAAGTGATTTTTGCTGAATGAGAGTTATTGATATACTTAAATCTGAACAAAAAGTTCTGACAACGTTGCTCGGAATCATATAAATCAGTTAATATTTAAGAGTTCGTTGCATAAATACATAGTAGAATTTCTTGCCTATAATAAATCTATTTGACGCTTATTTCTAATATTCTTTTAGATAAAATCCAATTCTAACCAAAACCGGCTATATTGAACTGTTACCACAGGTTATCAGCAATAATTCACATTCAACTTATGATGATATTGTAGAGTAGAAAGAATTAGAACTCGTCGTAAAAATTTGGCGAAACCTGCTGATAGATCAAGACCACTATGTGTTATTATTACAGATGGTAAGACATAAATTTATCATCGACAGGTTAGGTACAAGCTAGATTAGTAAAGATGAATTATCAAGGACTATCGCTCGCTAAAGTAGATTTGAACGAAAAACTTTGTTTTCTATATTCTTTAAATCAATTGGTCTTGATTTTATACTCGATATAGATAAAGGCAAGACTATAGATTACAACCATTATATTGAAATTTGCCTCAAGCCTATTGTCTGTCAAATATGGAAACAAAATTGGTCATCAAGAGTAAAAGGTATAATATGACTTCATGACAATGTTCGACCTCATAATCATGCAATTGTTATTAATTATGTAACATCAAAGGGTATCATTATAATAATACACCCATTGTTGTTATCAGACCTTGGATCATGCGACTTTTAGCTAAATGATTATATCAAGCGTAATTTAATTGACATAACGAATGAGAACTCATTGACTTGTGTAGTTTTCAAGATAGTTGAAAATATTCCAGAAGAAGAATTTAAAAAAACATTTGACAAATTGTTACAAAGAATAGAACATTGTATAAATAATTATGGCGACTATCTCGAACATTTAATAAAATTAAATTATAAATATCTCTTTATTTTTTATATTTTTATTTAACATTACTAGAACTTTTGGTCAAGCCTAAGTAGATAAAAATACACCTGTGTTCAATGAATGATTCGAAAAATGTGAACGTCATTTAACTTCGGATACTAATGAATAAGATGGTGGTGGTGGTGCTACTGATGATGATCGTATATCAATAGAAGCACCACCAAAACTAATGCCAATGATATGAAAACTTCATTTATTAGCAAGAACATAACAACCAAAATAAAATTGATTAATTACTGAATTCGAATCTGATTAAATTACTTTTATATTAATTTAACAGCTTAACGAGAAATAATATTAGAGGATTTTTTTGTGGAGGTTGAAATCCAAGTTTTTTCGATTCCCCCTAAGCCATAGAAATAGGAAGGAGAAATAAGACGATCATTGGTCATGTTTTCCTAGCAATAGGAAAAGGCACTTCAGTAACAGCAGTACTCAGATCATTCTGAAATTCTCTAAAAATCTTCCAATACATTCAATGAATCTAAGATTTCTACTGTAGATTCTAATATCAGTATATGTCAAAGTTTGTCGAGAGAAAGAACGGTATGCTCAGAAATGTATATAACAGGCCAAAAATAATGACTGTACTGATGAAACGAAGAATAGAATGTTCATAATAGAGAAGTTTTACTTTATATTGTTTTGTCACGTTTGAAAATTTTTCGTATTATGCTGAAAATATATTCTGTGATTTATATTTGACTTACTCAATAACTATTATCTTATTTTGATTTGTTTCTTCAATTGATTTAGTAGTTTGTTTTGTTTTAGATTTTTGTATAACATAATAAAAATAAAAAAGTTTTAATAAACGTTGATAATTTTCAATATTCGAATTTAAATGAATTTTATCAATTGTTTCTTGATAAAGTTTTAAACATGAAGAAGTTTGAGACTGTTGTAATAAATTAAGACATTCAACAAATAAATTAAAATTTTCAATTAATTCAAAATTATTTATTTCATTTTGTTTATTTATTAAAGTTTTTATTGATATTGTCGAACTTATAAATACATAATCTTTATACTTTTCATTATTAAGAAATGATGAAAGATTAAGTAATGATTGAATATAAATAGGAAATGATGTACAAAAAATAAAACATTCTAATGGACATCGAATTGTAGAATTATGAGCACGATCAATAAGAATACGTAATTCTAATAATTTTTGACGACGATTTGATGATTCACTAAAATATGAGAAAATCATATCAACAATTCGAAAAAACTTGATTTTGAAATAAATATTAAAAAAAAGAAAATGAAAATTAAACTATATCGAGTGAACAAATATTCTACTGCAAATATAATAGAAAAAAAAAGAGAATTTCTGTTCAAAAAACAGATCGGTTCCGTAGTCATCAATCATTCTTAAAAAACAACTATAGTCTACTAGAAATCTTTCGTTTAACATATTTTGTATTAGTATAATGAGGCTAAAGAACACATAGAAGTTCTATATTTAAGTCCTGATGGGTACTTCCCTGACAAACTATATAAAACGATAGAGCATACAATGATCTACAAAATGAGACGTGTTTGAGTTCTGTATGATTCTTTTTGGTTGAGATACAACAATCTGATTGAAAGTTCAACATCGAATTTCCGATAGAAAATAATATCAAAATTGTTTCACGAGCTTCTGTAAGATTGCTGTATCTTTGCCACCGAGAAGTCATACAAAACTTTAAGGTATTTCATTTTGTAAAGAATTGTTTGCTTTATCGTTTCGTACAATCTGAATAAAGCTATAATTGGGCATTCTGGATATTAAAAAAGTCGAGTTCGGTTCGTTGGAAAATCTCATATTTGGGAAACTGATTATCATTTCAAATTTTTTAATATTGCTGTTATAGATATTGTTCTCTATTCGAGTCGTTATTTAAATTCTTTTCAGTGATCAAGACACAGAAAAAAAAATTGGAAATAAATCTTGTTGAATAATTTTGGTGATAAATGATCTATACATATTAATTAGCTTCCTGAGTCTTCCGGCATTATGCTATGGCCCTGCTTAAATTACATAAAAATCTTATTCGACTTAGTTACTAATACTAGCATTGATTTTTCCAAAAATAATTGAAACTTATATATTTTTTAACTTCTAAACTGTCAAAGAAGAGTTCTCATCGATCGAAGCCGCCCCTACTACAAACCCTTTTCTCTGGCAGATCTCTGTCATATCAGTTCACCATTCTGCTCTCCCACAGTCAAAATCCTGGTTACGCCTCTAGACTGAAAATCAGCTTGGACATCAAAATATTCAACGAGACTAAGCGACATACTAACACATCTATAAATCATCGGTCGAATCTAAATCAACATTTATTTATACAACATTTTTGCAGTATATCTAAACATTATGTAATTGTAGAACAATATCGATCATTATAACAAAAAAAAAAGAAGGCCAATGTACTTGAAAAGTAGATGCTGAATAACAAGTCGATGACAAAATATGAAGTCTAATAAAGCTTAATGGTTAACTGTCTTTCTAAATTGCTGTGTTCTGAAAGATTTCGATAATTTTAGAAATACTATAGTAAGAATAACAATAACATCAAAAGAACTTCTGTTATTTCAGATCAATTCAATAAAAACAATACACCGATGAAAAAGACATGATTTTGCTAAATATTAAAATTTCTTAGCGACTATTACACTACATAAATTACAGCTATTTATTTTAATGCAAGTTTGTTAAAGAAAATTTTCAGATGTTCCACTTTTTTTTTCTCCTCTACGTATGGTTCGAATTATTTCTTGTCTACTAAGCATTTGTCAAGAAGTAATATACAACTATAAATGAAAAAAGAGCTTTTGACAAAAAAAAATGACGAGCCATCCCTGTTCCTCAAGCACAATAAATTGTATTGAACTGAAAAATTTTTCCAACTAATGTTAGAAAGTATTTGGGGTGTCCAAGTTATTTATTTTTTATTTGAACATATAATATATCATTAGTATTAGCCAGAGCTTACAAAGAAAATTCTAGCGGAAAAAACAAGCATTTTTGAGGATGTTCTCAAGAATTTATTTAAATAAAAGAAGATAACAGGAAATCAAAAGAATAGTAAGTGATGTGTGAACAAAGAAGACGCACACTCATCCAAGATCTTTTCAAATTTCTTTTCTTTTCTGATTAACTAAGTTTTTTCTTCTTCAACATAATCTATTATATTCTTAATTCGAATCTTATAAAATATTATATGAAATATTTTTCAAAAATACATACATTTGATTACCATGATAAGTAACAATTTGTTGCCAATTAAAATTTTCTTTTGCACTCACAGCAAAATTCATTAATTTTTCAATTTGTTCAATAGGATTATCACATTGATATGTTCGATCATAACTTCCTTCTAATTTAACATGAATATTTGTTATTTGATTATTTTTAAAACATTTTATGAAATATTCTAAATAAAATTCAATAGCATAAATTAACCATTTATGACATAAATGTGGTTGAATATTTAATCGTCGACGATTTTCTAATACAATTGGTAAAAGATCTTGTACATATAAACAACGTAAAATATTTAATGATGTTATTTTTGTATTAAAACCAATTTTATCTTCTGTATTTATTATTAATTGAAGTATTGATGATATTGATGATGATGATGATAATGATAAACAAGCAAGAGCTTTTTCACGACATTGATTTAATGATTCTGTTGATTTTGTTGATAATAAAAGACTTTGTTCAAGTTCATCATACCATTTGCGTATTAATAATGAAGATATAATATCACGTGTTGATGATGATAAAAGTGAATAAAGATGATAATAAGAAAATTGATTTTTTTCAATTAAACTAGAACTTTTCTTTGAATTGTTGTTTTTTTTTTTTTTGGAGAAAAATTTTTCCTTACCTATTAGAAGAACTTGTGAATATTAATTGAAATTCTTCTTGTATATAATTATTTTTATCTATTTCATTTATATGATATTGTAAAATATGTTCAATTATAAATGATAATAATATATAAGATTTATATTCACGAAATAAGCGATATAAATCAATTAAAACATTAAATTGATCACCATAAATTGATAATGTTGTTAAAAGCCATGCATGAGCACGAGGAGTTTCTGTCATAGTTTCATTTCCATTAGGAGTTGAAAGATTTGAACGAATTTGGTCTATTAAATAGACTAAATTTGTATTTGAGGACGTATCCATTTCGATAGTCATTATTAATTAATTGAAGGATTTTTCATTTTTATTTTCTTTTTTCAATTTCCATTTTCATAATTCATTGATATAATTGACAAATAGAAACTATTCGATAGATGACTCTCCATGCTGCATAAAAGTGTTATCTTCATTAAATTTCTTTTTCAGAGAATTAAAACGGTTTCGAGAATATGAACAGAGATTTTTAGGGTTTTCAAAAACCTAGAAATAATATTTACCTAAGTCTTTTAAGATATTGCAGCTCAAGGGTAATCTTCTGTTAAGTTCAGCGCATCGTTTCTCTCAGAGATGTCCATCGCGGCGCTGCCGCGGTGGCGGCGGCGGCAGCGGCAGATTTTTAAAAACTCATCGCGGCAGCGGCGCGGTAGCTTTTTTTATAAGTCATCGCGGCGCGGTAACTTTTTTTTTCTAATGCCGCGGCGCGGCAGCGGCAGGTTTTCAGCCGCGATGGACATCTCTGGTTTCTTTAAGGAGGGTCATATATTGTGGTCGGGAATGAGCAGGGTGCATTTCATTAAGAAAGTAAAACTATTCGTTTGATTGAGTTTCAGTCGGTTTCAAAACAACTGTTGTCATAGGTACGTTTCGATAGCTTTTATTATTTGAACTGTCACATACGAGTTTCGATTAAGAAGTTCTTCGACATTCGAATCTTCTAAATCTAATTGTATCACAATGATTCCACAGATCAGCAACACAGTTTTCTACAATATGTATAATTTGATTAAATTTTTCATCAGTAATTTTCTTCTATGAAAATAAATCTTTAGAAAGATTTCATCGATATAGACTGAATTGTGGATTGATTGTGTTCATAGTTCAGAATCGATTGAAGATTTTGATAGTTGAATTTATTGAAGAAATTGTATTTATATTTCAGACAATAATGTTTTGTAAGAACTAGAAGTTTATTCAATTTTTAATACTTTCATACAACTATATCAAAGGCTACTGGAGATTGCACAGTTTTCATTCGATTTGAATTGAAGAATATGTTTTTCTTACGGTGTTTTGGAAAAACTTCCAGCTGTCACTGTCGCTGCGATATAAAAATACATACTAATTAGATTTTTAGATATTTTTCGACATTCAGAAGCAGCTTTTAGGAATATTCTTCGGTAGTTTTTTATCAATATATTCTGTACCATCGTTTTTTTTCCCTTTAGCATTTCTAAAGTTTCACAAAACAAGAAAAATTTAAAAACACAAGTATCGAAAATGGTCGAAAATTGCCGCGGGAACATCAATGAATAGTTTCGTGTTATTTTCATCGATCAATGATAAAATATGATCGAATAACATTAGCATAGTAAGTCTTTTCGCGAAAATAATATGTATGAAAAGTGAATCGTTTCTATGATGAATATCAACTAATAAAATAGTGATGTTTATAGTAGATTTTGTTTTTCTGATTGACATAAATGATTACATGTTTTTACTCTGAAAATTCCGTATTCACCTTGTCTGCAGATTCAAAGCTAGCAAACGAAAGGTATATGAACTAACATTCTTTTCGAAGGATCGAACAAAAAGGTGTGCGTATGGGCGAGGATTAAAATAAGTAATAGGTCAACAACCACAGCCATCCCACAATTATGTACATACATATCTATACCAAAGTTATCATATTTAGTTCTGGCATTATTAACACAAAGAGAAACTATTTCAGTAATGTTAAAGAAATTTTATGCTTAAAAAGATAGTTACTGAGTAATAAACTTGATCCACTCACTGATATAATTTCACATAACCTCTTCCTTTTCGCTGAGATTTGTTTATCTGACTAAATCAAATATTTAAAAAAAAAAAGAAAGTTTGCCACATATCGAGTTCTATCGAAAGGACGGCAGATACGACTGGCCGGGTTCTAGTATAGAATTGTCGGATCACATTTAGTTCGGCTACGGGAAGCATTTGTCGAATCGAGTCCAAGTACGAAAATTCGTACCCTTGCAAGATAATAATTTGAGATGCACTAACGTATAGTTATTATGCATTTCCGTTTAGATTAAAAAACCAAAATACTTGTTTTTGTTTTTGAAGAATTGTAATTTTCTGAAAAAAGAAATTTTTTTTAAAATTAAATCTCTTTCTAAAACAGTCAGTAAAGCAACATACAAGTTTGAACTGAATTCTCTCTCTACTATTCTCAATACACTTTTAAGTTTTAAACAAATAATTTATATCATTTTCTTTGAGTTGATACTAGTAATTTATATGAGAATTTTATGAGAATAAAAGTTTAAACGAATTGAAATCTTTGACATCATTATTTAATCAATAATTAAAGCAAATATATTACGAAGACGTCTAGAAAATTGTCATCATATTGTTCTATGGAAAAACAAGAAAGAGGAAGGGNTGTGGTCAAGTTCAAAGTAGGATACAAGCAGCGTCCACGATTTGAGTCTTAATTACGTGCCGGTGACAGATCCAACTGTTCGGCGAGCCAGCGAACGCTGCCCCTCGTGAAATATTTTTCTTGTTTTTTCTTCAGTAGAAATGAACAAAAAGAATTTGCATTATCTTAAATAGGCTTCGAAAATCGTTTTTTGATTATGACCGCCGTCCCCTTACTGATTTTCTAGATCGACCTCTGTTACGTGTGAACATCTATAGAAAATGATTTCTATTAGTCGTCAACTAATGAGAAAACTTACACTAGTTCTCGACCTAAGAAACACAAATAGATGATGATATCACTCATAAGATAGGTGTAGTGTAGATCTACTCTCAGTGATTTAAGGAGACTCACGCTACACGTATTAAAACGAGGCACTGATTATAATATATTCAGCATAGGCGGCGGAGCCATTAGGCTCGAAAGGCTCTAGCCTACCCTAGATTGAAAGTGGGCAGGCTGTGGTAATTTCTAGCTAGAGCAGATAAAGGCTTGAGTAGACTCGATTAAATGTAAGTTTCTTTTTTATTATTGTTAGTTTTTATGTTTCTGACGAATAACGCAGTTTCATAAGATCAGTTCATATTTTCTTTGCTACGAACTCGTTTACAATTAAGTATTGATTGGACTTTGTCAGCATCTATATCGACATCTAATTCTTAGTTCTTAATATAAGATCGCTGAAATAGGCTTCTTAGATTTCTATTTAAAATTACTTTTAAACCTTATAGATACTCGTATAAGATTACTTCTGTCGCACACAAATGCGAGCCAAAGAGTGTCAGATAATGTCTTCCTTTCAAAATAAAAAATAAAAATCCAAGGACAGTTTTAAAGAAAATCCGTTTTATGTTTAAATTTCAATCAGTAATTTAAGCATACTCAAGGTAAAATAGAACATCGTCAGAACTAACAAAAACTTCAACATCATCTATTCTGATTTTCTTTTAAATAATCAAATAGAGAAAAATATTTTTCGGTGCTAAATAGTTTTATTTTTTATTCTTGGAAAATAGTCTTTATCACTATTATTTACTTTGCGTCTGAAAACAATAACACATTAGATAGTTATTTATACAGGCTTAAGATCAAGCAGTAAAACCTAAAACACTTCCCACAATATATCAATGAAGGAAATCACTTCTTAACTGGCTTCTACCATGCAAAAAAATTCGAATTGAAATCAAATTAAAATCGTTTTAAAGTCGGTTACAGTCAAACGAAACTAACTATTTTTGAACCAACTTTAATTTTAGACAACTGAAAAACTAAATTTTCGTTGAGTATCACAAGTAATTTTGCTGATAGGCAATTAAAACTGCATAAAAAATACGACTTTAGTTGATTGTTCTTGATAATAAATGAAAACAATCGGTTTCCACCAATTAAATTTAAATTTTATATGAAGTTTTTATCGAATATGATCTGAGCAATTGTATGAATCAATGAAAGATTCTATTAAAATCGGTTAAAAGATGATTAAAAAATTGATTAAAATCTCATGATTATAGCTGATACTCAAAGTGTTTCTAGTCGGTTTCAATCTATTAGCAATCCTCACTTTTTCAATTGGAAGACTTGATTTGGCTGAAAATTTGAGCCTATCCTAGACTGAAATTGCTCCGCCGCCTATGCCATGAATAAGAATAAATTTATCGATTAGAAATCGAACAGCAAATTGCGCAGTACAATTGGGTAGCGTATCAGCAATGACATACTTAGACAAATTATTCGTGAGAATAATTACATAACGGTTACCATCAAATGAGGGCATTCGAACTGGGCCCAAGAAATCCATGTGAACAACTTGAAAAACTGCAGATGGAGGCGAAATTGATTGAAGATGGCCATCAGATTTAGTGCGAACAATATTATGTCGAACGCATGGTGAACAAGATGCGATATAATTGTGCACCGATCAACGCATATTAGGTCAAAAAAAGCGAGTGCGAATGGTTGCAAGGGTACGATGAACGCCGAAATGCGCGCTGAGAGGATAATCATGATATGTATTAAGCACTAATGGAATGAGGGACTTGGAAAGGAAAAGTACACCAGGGGAATGATGTGTATTCGAACGAGAAATAATATGGAAAAATATATCGTCCTGGTAAACAGATTGAGTGCCAGATGGATGGTCGTGTATACGTTTGATGATAGAAAGGGTTTCTAGATCCGAATGTTGTGCAGTTTTAATACGAGAGAGACTAGGATCGAAGGCGGTGGTATTGGAATTTGACGGAGTGGTAGTCGTAGGAGAATCGGTAGGGATAGCGATGATATTAGGAGTATCATGATGTTCGTCGTGGATGTGATCAGGCAAAATGTCAGGTGGTGGCTTATCGAGAGAGGTGATGGGTGAAGGATTTAATGTCATACGAGTTTTGGATCGAGTGACGACAGGGGAGAGAACGATCGGATCCCATGTTTCTGTACCACGAGGCCAATCTGAATCCAAGGAAGAAGAATTAGGGGAAGAAATACGTTGGGAAAGGGGAGTAGATGTATCTGAAGAAGTGTTGGAAGAGGGGTGAAGAGATGAGGAAGGAAATTCGAGGGTAGACGAAGAAGGATCCACTGGATCATATCGTGTTAG